CCTCCTCCCTGGGGGGTTTCTGGGCTGGCGCCCCCACGCAACAGTGTGTCTGCCTGAAGGTCCTCTGCCTCCACCAGTTGCAGTGCCTGAGCCTTAAGTGGGAACAGCCCACCCAGGTCTGGGCTCCACACAGGTGTTTCTGCTGGGGAAGTACCCTCCCCATGCACCGGAGCAGCACCCGTCTCCTCCCCCAGCCCCAACTCTGGTTTATCATCCTCCTCCAGTGGTTGCACACCTGGAGCCATGCTCCCTCCCTGCTCTGTCCCTGGGGAGCCGGCCTCGCTCGGGGGCTGCAGAGCTGTCTCCACCTCTGCAAGCAGCTGCACATTGGCATCACTGCTCTGGGCCTCCAGCGGTTGCACATCTGGTCCCACTCTGCCTTCCTGCACGTCGGCGGGCGGCATAGCCAGCGGCAGAAAAAAATCCCCACGCTGTGTCTCCCCTCAGAGACTCACCCCACAGCTGCAGGTCTGCTTCCCTGGGCTGCATTACCTCCACCTCCCCTTCCTTGGCCCCAGCTCCTCTGCTGCCTCCATGCTGGGCTGGGGCTGGCAGCACGTTGGCATCCAAGGTCTCTCCCCAGGGCTGCACCTCCGCACTGACGTGCTCTTCCTCCAGCATCGCCGGGTCAGAAGCCACTGTCACCTTGGGGAGGACACCGTCCCCCTGGGCTGCTCCCAGTCTCACCTCACCCCAGGATGGCAGCTCTGGCTCCAGGCGCTCTCCGGGCTTTATTTCAAGTTTCTTGGAGAGCCTCAATGGCAGGTCAGCCTCTTCCCCCAGCCCTGCGCCCGGGCGCTGTGCACACTCCTCCGGAGCCACAGCCAGACCAAGCTCATCTGTGGCAAGCTGCCATCCTGCTGCTAGACCTGCTTCCCCAGCCTCGGGTGGCTCAAAGCCTGCCTCCGGATTTTCTCCCTGGATTAATGCTACTTCCTTAGCTTCTACCAGGAGCTGTGCCTTTTCCCAACCTATTTTTTCCTGCATCCATCCTTCTCCCTCCACCTTCACGAGAGCCTGCTCTCCTGCCTCCATGCTCTCTCCTAGTGCTCCTTCCGAATGCTCAGCTGCCTTTAGCATCAGTTCCTTCACACCAGTGCCCTTTCCTTGCAGGAATAACATCCTCCGTGCCTCCTCCAGACTCTCTCCCTGCTCTGCCCCCGGCTCCCGAGCCCTGCGGTGCCTGGCTCCCACGGACGCACCAGCCTGTGTCATGTCTGGAGCGTGAAGTTCAGCTGTGGCTGGTCCCTCTTTCAGGTCTCCTTCGAACAGCTCACGACCGACATGGCTGGACAGGGTCTCTTGCATGACCCCAGGGGTTGTGCCATGGGCTGCAGCTGCTTCTGGCCCCATTTGGGGCTCAGCATCATCCCGGGGGTGATGGGCAGTTTCTGCCAGCATGGGAGGTGCACCCAGTGCCTGTGGCTTCAGCTGTTTGCTCAGAGCTGCTATTGCATCATTCATCTCTCTTAGCAAAGAGCTTTGGTCAGAAAAGCGTTCCTCTTTCAGAAATTCTGGGAAGGGGTCCTCTTCCGTGGAGCTCAGTCCTAGCTGGGGTCCCAAAAGGCTTATTTCTGGTGGTGGCATTTCCCAAACCCTGGAAAGGGCAGAGAAGTGGGGGGATGAGCCCAGTCCCATCCCCATTTCAGGCTCCAGCTCCCTCCCATCCATCTAGGCTGGTACCAGGAGGGTCTCTCCTCCACTACCTCACCCCATCCTTCTCCAAGCCCGACTGTATTTACCCTCTGGGTGTAGTGGAAGCTCACACAGGCAGCAGCTGGGGACAGAGGAGAAGGGGATGCACACCCAGAGAGACAGACCTGGGGCCGTATCCTGCCCATAAGCAAGCATGCCTCTTCCCAGGCTCCGTATTTACATGACTGGAGATGAAAAGACAACTCGGCCAAGTACAGCGAGTGTCTGAGCCAAGGGAGCGATGCGGGGGGGGCAAGCTGGGGTAAGAGATCTGATCTCCAGGATGAGAGGTGGGTGGGTGGGAAGGAGCATTAAAAGGAATAAATAATCGTGTTTTGCCTGGGGAGGGTGGAGGACTTGGGTGCTCGGTACCAGCTGGCAGATGTCAAGGGCACAAGCTGAAGCAGCAGCTGTTGCCCAGGACCCCTTACACTTGGTGGATGCTCTTGGCTTTGGGCTCGGTGCTCTGGGACCCCAGCCTGATCCGCATCTCGGACCGGTACTTCTCGCTCTTCTCTGGACTTGTCTGCAGCAAACAGGGTGAGAAGAGGAGAGAGAAAAGCACTTGGTAAGGGAGCGTATCTACATGAAATGGTGCTGAGCTTTCCGGCAGGTATCCAGATGTACCGACTCGAAATCTTGGGGGTATCAGAACTAACATACTGCTACCCTTGCCCTTCCCAAGCATCTGTAGGGCACCATGCCAACCCAGTTTGAGAAAGCTTTTAGGGGAGGCACTGCCTCCGTTGCAGAAGTGCCCTGTGCTCTTGGGCTCCCCAGCAGTCCCAAACCAAACAGCCCAAGGCCCTGGAGCACGGACACCCCGTCCCATCCCCATGCACCCAGCTGAAGTACCTGTGGGGACATTGGCGTCTTGCTGGGCAGCTCTGCCACCACTCCGTACCTGCAAACACAGAGGTCAAGATGGCAATTGCACCCTCTTCACCATCCCTAGCCCAGGGTTGCCGCCAGTCGCACAGGCGGTGGTGGGCAAAACCCACAACCCTTGCATCAGTCCTCATTGGGTCCTTCTGGGTGAAGGACATCCCTATCTCTGCCAGCACCACCCTTGAGGGACACATTCAGTGCATGATGCTGATAGTTCTGGCTTTTTTTCTGGTGCTTTTCACACCAAACCATGATTAATCTGCACTGTGGAGACCACTGAAGCATCACAATGGCTGAGACCCACCAACTCATTCCCCATCCACTGCAGCCCCCAGGAGGAAGCCATGTACGTGCAGAGGGATCTGACGGTCACTCAGCTACTCACCCAGACTCCTCCACATGCTCCCAAGCCACCATGGCCCTCGCTGTCCGCAGGCGCCTGTGGGTCTGCTGGAGCTGCTGATGAAGATGCTGCAGGCGGTCCTCCAACACCCGGTTGCTCTCCTCCAGCTGCTGGTTTTCAGCGCTGGTGGCTTGCTGTGTGCTGCACAGGCTGCGGCACCGTGCCTCCAGCTGTGGGACAGCAACCAGGACACTCACATCCCGCCAGGACCCCCGTGCAAAAAAAAAAAAAAAATGATGGATAATCATCTCCTCTAGACCTGGGGCTGAATGGTGTCTCCCCCACCCTCCCTGAGGGTGGTGGGTGGGAAACTCAGCTTGGATCCTCTGGGGATGGAGGGGAACATTGGGATGGGGGTGGGAAAGGTGGTGGTGGAGGTCCTATGCGACAACCTGCATCAAGGGCTGGTGGGGACAGACTGGGAACAGCTGTACAACACTGTGTTGCTGCCATGGGCACAGCCCAGAGACCTGTACACGCGATGGGGGGCTGGGGCCAGCTCACCTCCATCTGTGCCATGACTAAGCGCTGCACCTCCCTTTCGCTGGCATCCAGTGCTCGCTGCAGCTCCACGTCGTGCTGGTGGGTCCGGGCCATGCTCTGGGATGACAACCAGGATGTTAGCACCCACTCACGCATCTGGGAGCTGCCGCAGGGGTTTGGGGGTCCTGGGTTCCCTCCCAGGATGGGTTGCAAGGGGAGAGGAGCAGCTGGTGACCCACCTCCTGCTGCAGCCGCTGCTGCTCCTGGCAAAAAAAATCCAGGGCCTCGCAGAGCTGCTGCACCTCCTTGTCATGCTCAGCCACACGCCTGCCAGGGATAGCAAGGCCAGGGGGGGTGTGGTCAGACCCTGCTGCTGTGTATGCAGCTCCTTGGGACCCCCACATTGCCCAGAGGATCTGCAGGCTGCAGCCAGGTCTGCCTGGAGAGGTTCACCCGGTGAGGATGTGTCCAATTGTCTGAGTCCAGCACTTTTGCCATCACTTTTGTCATCCCGAGCATGACTGTAGAGGGAGCCCGACCCCAAATGTCAGCTCTGAGTGAAACCTCTGCTCCAGCCACTGATGGAGATGCTGAAAACACCATGGTTTCTCCCTCCTTGGGTGTCTTTCCACAACTGGGGTGAGTAGGGGGCCCCATCCCTGTCCCCATCCTTCCTGTCCCGTCCCTCTCCACCACTCTGGGGTGACTCACTTGTTCAGAGTCACCTCCAAAGCCTCCTTCTTGCTCTTGGCCTCGTGGATGCGGTGCCTCATCTTGGCCAGAAAGTCCTCCAGGTTGCCCAGGAGCTGAGGTTCGTCCTGCCGGAGCTTCACCCAGAGCTGCCAGATCTCCTGTCTGCAGGGAGAGGTTTTTTTATGGTGAGCATCCCCCCAAAACCCCCCAAAGACAGGCTGGCTATGGGGTCCTGGGTCATTTAGCTCATACCATTTGGTACGTGTTGTCCTGAGGGACAGATTAGCACTGGGGTGACCACGATCCTGTCCCCTGCCCCTGTGCTTGGGCCAAAGGCACCTCCAAGCCATTTCTGGACTCGCTGTGTGCATGGGGATCTCCTGCCCCATGCCTTTTCCCCTGTACCCCATCCTGCAGGACACCCATGGGTGCTAAACAGGGTGGCTTACTCTTCATAGACGTTGTCCATGCCCAGCTGGTCCATAAAGGCAGCAAAGTGTCTCTGCTCCTCGCTGTCCACCCCCTCCAACACTGGGCTGGGGAGGACCAAGCGGACTCTCCGGGACGTTGTTTTCAACTGGCGGTGATCCCTGGCAGCTTTTTGGGAGCTCAGGAACTGCCCTGCTGACAGACACCCCAAACCCTCAGTGCCTGGCCAGGGCAACGGCAAAGCCCAAACCCTAACACTTCCCACCCCATGGCTTCGACGAGTCACTTTGGCACAATTGGACCCTTCACCAGGCGAGGCATGGTGAGAGCCAGGCATGGGGACAGTTTCTGGGCCATCATGTGCCACCCAGCAAAGGGAACATTTCAGGTCCCCAGGGATAGCACGGGGGCTGCATCAAGGACCACCCTGGGCTGCTCAGAGGCAGCGTGCCGGCACTTACAGAGCCCAGCAGTGAATTCCTTGGTGCTTAACCGCCCAGTGCCAGCGGCATCCAGCCCATCAAAGACGAGCTCCAGCTCCTCCATGCTGCACGGGAAATTCTCCTCCTGCAATCTCTAAGAACAAAGCAAATGAGGGGAAAAACCTACCCGTCATCCAGTCTCCAGCCACCCTGGTGGCATTTGACCCGAGAAGACATCCCCATCCCTTACCTGCATGTCCGAGTGGGTGATAAAACCCGCCTGGTCCTTGCCCCGCTCCCTGAGGAAGTCCTGCACCCTCTCCATTATTTCAGATGCCCACAGCGGCTCCTCGCCGGAGC